TTCAGTGACAGACACACAAGTAGCCTTTAGAAAGCTAAGACAGCTACTTAGTGCCCTCTCAATCTTTTCTTCAAGCCAAGCATTCCCAGTTCCTTCAACAGTTTTACTTTCTCTAATTTGAATGGATTTCATGAAGACTTAGTGTGATAGGAGAATTTCCGCTCGTATTCTTTGTGAAAGCATTAAACTGCTCCTCAAATGTTTACGTTAAGCAAAAATTAGCAATGAGAGAAAAATGTGTTCAGATGGCATCCCATAAAACCCTCAGTAGTTTGGAGGGTTTGAATTTGGTTTAGGTTCCTCAGCACCCTTTCCTTTCCAACTTTCTAGCCAACTTTTTACTCTAAGCACTGTCATTATCAAAGCTTGGTTTAATTGTGAACTTTTCACTGAGCTGATTCATACCAAAGCCCAGTACATTTTGTAGACTCTATCCTCTTTCCTGTGTAAGGGTGATAATTTTTGTCTGTATTTACCTTCTGGCTCAGCCAAACCTAAAATAGCAAAGAGCAAGCTGAGGGTATATAAGGAAGTACAAGGTAGCTGTTTTTGTGACTCCCCATTATCATGTTGATGATCAGATGTTTGACAATAAGTAAATGCACTTCAGAAACAAACCATTTTGGAAAGCCAGTGTTTAAAATGCAGGCCTTTCATTTGAGTTGTATATTCAGATCTTACTACCATGTGCTTTTCATTTTTAGGACATACATATATTTTGCTATGTTTTACTTTTTTGAGCTTGCCAGGCTTTCTCTTTAACTTTTCAGGGTGTCTGTCCCTGCCTGTACCTTGGGAATCAGCAGTGTGAAAGCACTAGGTTAACAGAACTGGCCGAGTCCATTTTTAAGCAATATGTGTGACCCTTTACAAGTGACTCTTCCAGTCCTTCATTTTCTCATCAGTGGAACGGAGAAATTGGATGAGAAAACCTCAAAAGATCCCTTTCTAATTGTCACTCTGATTTTATGAACGTGGGAAGTCCTAGGCCCAGGAAAGAATTCTCAGTCTCTTTAGTCCATGTTGATAATTCTCTGTTATGAACCGCCAAATCACCGTTTGCCTGTAGAATGTGCTTGGGCACTTAGTGTGAACTACCTCACGTCATCACTGAATTGTTTCACGTGAATATATTCCATCTGACCAGGAGCCATGTGTTCCATGGCGTTTGTTTCCTCCCCAGCGCTGTGAGTAAAGGAGGCACTCAGCCCTGTGAGCTTGGTCTTGGGATCCTAGCACATCAAAGTTCTTTTTTTTTTTTT